AGCACTTGAGAGATGATTGATTTTCAGATGTTTGTTGTCTCCCAACCCTGTACAATCCAAGGAGAGGGTGCTTGCTCAGTTAGCTCATAGCTAATGATGGGAATGTTTGTGAACCACTAAGAATCTCCCCTGTGGATTTTTCCTTTCTCTTTTGCAGTGCCCAATCGAGTGGTTCCACTTTGCATGTGTGGACCTGACCACCAAACCAAAAGGGAAATGGTGAGTGTGACAACATTCAGCTTTGGGACTTTTATCAGTTTGCCTCAACAAGAATTAAAACCCTGTTGTGACCCTGACAGAGGAGCTTTGCTCTTCTCATCAGAGGTTTGCATCTTGTGTGTGATTGGGGATTGAGGGTAGAAGATGCAAGATGAACCTTCTTGTTAAAATCCATTTCCACAGAAGTCTTAGGTACTGGTGGGAGCAAAACTGCCTGATGAACAGAGCAAGTTTTGACCTGAGCCTTGTGCAAACATGGACGTGTTACATCTGTGGTTTGCTCTGTTGTCTTTAGTTGTGGCTGTGCTTAGAACAGAGACAGGTACCTCTTCATTTCACTTCTGGAGGCAAATTTTGGAGACTTCTCAGGGTTTTACTGTGTGCTTATCTTGGAAAGGGTCGTGGGCTTGTTATTTTTATCTAATGGAATGTTCTAATCAAATCACCAAATTGCTTGTCAGAAACAGGCTTACTTGTGCACAGATATTAAAAACAGTTCTCAGGCTCTGTTCTGTTAATTTCAGGAGCTAATTACTGCCTCTTTTTTCCTACAGGTTTTGTCCTCGTTGTGTTCAGGAAAGAAAGAAAAAGAAGTAAGGAGTAGAGGGGGATACACTGCCGAGGCAAGAAGAATTTAATATATTCCTTCATTCATGTTGCAATATTACCTTCGATTATTTTTTGTTAATCTATCCTCCATCTTTTTCCGGTATGATATTTAATTATCCAGTGGCCAGTTGAAATTCCTGTTCTTTCCTAAGACAGTGACTTTGGGAGGGAGTCCCAAATCCCTTTGCCACGGAGATTTTATTTATGTTAGTCTTGCACAATAATACTGAGGGAGGGTGTTGCCTTTTCTGGCTGTTTCCATTTCCCTGAAGATTCTTTAAGTACATCACTGTGAAGATGAAACCTACAGTATTCTTGGAGAGAGACAAGGTCAGATGTATTCACAAAATAAGATGAAGGCCTGAATTGTTAGCTGTGATTGCCTGTGTGACACATGGGTAAATCAGGTTTTAGGAAAAGGCTCCATGAGGACACTGTTTGTTCCCATGTTTGTGGCTCTGCTGTTGAGGAAGGCCATTCAGGAATGTTGTAACAAACTTCTTGTCTTTTTTTGATATGCCACGTTTGCATGTTCTGGACTTGTCTAGCTGCCTTTCAGATGGTGAATGTGAATCCCTGCATTAGCACAGTGTCAGTGGCTGCAGCAGAAGGAGGAGAGGAAATCAGGAGTTGGAAAGCAAAGATCTCTGTTTTTTCCTTCCTCTGAGAGACAGTGGATGCAGAAGTTGACAGAAGAGCAAAGTCTTGTCTTCATGTCTCTCTCCTGCATCACGAGGCTTACCTGCCTTCAGTGGAAGATGTAGTGGGGAAAGGTGTTGCAGGTTTCCTTCCTGCTGGTGGAAGGGGAATAAAAAGCCCCAAACTCGAGCTTTGCTGGCTCTGCTCCCTAGTGGGTGTTGGTGGCAGCTGTGTGCAGGGCTGTGTGCTGCTTTCCCTACCAGTGTGCAGGAGCTCTTGGTACAGACTGCTGGAAAGGCATAAAGAAACTCCCAGATAAACTTTCCTTCTGCTGAATAAACAGCACAGGAGATTAAAAACACTCCTACTCAGATTTTGGTGCCTGTTTTCTAAAGAAAGAAGGCTTTTCCTGTTACACTGAGCCTCTTACTCATGTTTTGCAATGAAGGAAAGTAGAACACAGCTCCTGCCACCTCTCCTTCTCTCTGTGGGGCTTTGTGCCTGCTGCTGATGTAGAAAAAACCTCTCAATTGTGAGGCAGCTTTTCTGTGAACACTGATTTATGGTAGGAAAATATCCCTGTCTTCAGGGTCCTGTCATTTCCAGTGTGATGTTGCAGGTGTCTTTACTACATTGCATTAGAGAGAGGAAGTTCCTATAGTTCTGTGCCTGAAAATGCACATTTGTGATGCACATTTGTCATTGCTGCCACAGAACAGCACATGGAAAGCAGGCAGGGAAATTGAAGCCAGAGTGCTGGATGGAGGGAGGAGGAATAGCACAGTCACACAAAGCTGGAGTACAGCGAGCCCTCTTCTTGTTCCTGCCTCTTCATGAGAGCAAATTCGTGATAGCTCATGAGCCAGCCTGTAATCCAGTCCCCAGAGGGTGAGAGCTGCTCCTCCTTCCCCACTGCACTGGATTGAGTTGGAGCATTGCTGTGTCCTGTGTTGATGCTGCTCCAGGTTTTGTTTTCCTCTTTCACCCAATGGTATTGTAGACGACTTTTCTTCCTGCTTTTCCTAAAGCTTTGTTAGTACTGGTATTGCCGTTTGATTTGAAACAATCTCAAAACTCCACTCTGGAGTTTTGTTCATGCTGGAAACATGCCATGAGGGAAGAGAGCAGCTCAGGGTGAGCCAATGTGGAGCTGGCTTCCCTCAGCTCCAAAATTCTGGCCAGGTAGAATAAAAAACCACATTTTTAGAAGTACTTTTGGGGCTCCAAAAGAGTGTTTTCCACTTGAACCAGCAAAGCAAAAAGGAAAACAAGCTCTGGAAGGTAGAGCCCTCAAAAGGAAGAATAATTTACTAGGAATGATGAATAATGTGAGGTACAAGATTCTCCTCTTCTTTACAACCTCTGTGATGTGTAAAGCATCTGAGATCTGATACCAGCAATAAACTCTCCTACTGGTAACATGCCAGTTCAGGGTTTGGATGGGCTCAGGAACATCTCCTGCCCTCTTTACACCTGGTTGTAGAGATTTTTTACAACTCCTTGTAGATAGAAATACCAGCAGCCTTCATTTTTGCTTACTAAAAGATTTAAATCTTCTGACTTTTGAATGTACAGTGTTAAATATTTCCTGGAGAAGGGTGATCCCTTATGGAATACCCCACTGAACATTGCCCAAAAAAAAACAAACAAAAACCCCACCAGGGGGGGCCCAGCTTTATTTTTACTGCAGCTCATCCAAACTGGAGGTCCGAAACCGACTTTCACCCAATTCCCGAAACGAGAGAAAAAAAAAAAAAAAAAACTGAGGAATGTAAAGTTTAAACAAACAAACAAAAAAATGTATATCTGTATTTTTGGATCTTGGAGATGTTGGATTATATTATAAATAAAGTATTTTTGGGAATCCACGTGTGAGGGTGTGCTGTTGCAACCGCCGGCCGCCAGGGGGCGCTGTCGCCCGCCCGCGCTGAGCGCGTTCGCGCTCAGCGCGGACGGGCGACAGCGCCCCCTGGCGGCTTGGCGTGAGGCGCGCTGCGCGTCCCCGACGCTTCCAGGCCGCGGAGCGGGTTTATCTCCCGTTTTACCGGGAATAATCTCGAATTTCGGTAAAACACTGCGAAGGGTTCGTGGGTGAAGCGCGGCGGGAGCAGCGGAAGAGTTTCTCCTCACGGCAAGCGGCAAGGCCGCGCGGTTTTTTCATGGCTTCCACACTCGTGTGGCGCCGCGGGGCCGACTGGCTGAGGGGTTGCCGCAGGAGCCGGGAGCTCCCCGGAGTTCCCCGGGGTAGGGGCTGTGCCGGTTCCCGGGAGGTGGTGCCGACCTGCGAGCGGTACGCGGTGAGGAGGCTGCCCTTCGGCCGGCTGGCGGATGGAGATGTGGCTTTCTTCGAGCGCCTCATGCCCGGTAGGGTCGTCACCGGCCAGGAGGAGGTGAAGCCATTTAATGTGGACTGGCTGAAGTCGGTGCGAGGTAAGCGAGTTGCTCGGTGAAGCCTCCTTCCGGCCTCTATTTCATGAGTTTCCCAAATGAAATCTTTATGGCGGATCGCATCTGTGCAGACCATAGAGTTAAGAATTATCTTGTCCAACTCCTGGCCCTGCACAGCAATCCCGCCCTGTGCCTTACAGCGTTATCCAAGTGGCCCTGGAGCTCTGCAGCCTCGGGGCTGTGCCCATTCCCTGGGGAGCCTCTTGGTGCCCTCTGCAGGAACAATCGTGATATCCACCCTAACCCTTTCCTGACACAGCTCCAGCCATTCTCTCTGGTCTCCAGACACCAGATGAATGCCTGCCCGTCCAAAATGAGTTTTTCTCACCAATATTATTCCTTTAAGAATTACCCGATACCTGGTAAACTTATAGGCTTTCATAAAAAAAAAAATTCTAAAGCCTCTAACGTAATTAATTTTTTTCTTGAGACAAATTGATTCAGCTAATAGTTTTGGTTGAACCCCAGAAAAGAATATGAAAGCTTTTGGGACACTTCATTGCAGCCTTCCAGCACCTCAAAGGAGTTTATAAAAAGGAGAGAGAGAGACTTTTTATATGAGCCTGGAGTGGCAGAACAAGGGGGAATGGTTTCCCACTGCCAGAGGGCAGGGTTAGATGGAATATTGAGAAGAAATTCTACCTTGTGAGGGAGGTGAGGCCCTAGCACAGGTTGTCCAGAGAAGCTGTGGCTGCCCTGGAAGTGTCCCAAGATCAGTTTGGACAGGGCTTGGAGCACCCTGGGATAGTGGGAGGTGTCCCTGCCCACGGCATGAGATGAACTTTTAAGTCCCTCCCAACCCAAATCATCCTGTGATTCTAAATCAAGCATTGTGAATTCTCTGTTGCTTCTTCAAAGATTTCACGAGAATTTAAACCGTTTCCCATTGCCCCCCGTGGCAGCCAAGTCTACCTATACATGCAAAGTTTTTGCAGGGCTTAAAGGGAAAGGCTGCTGTTGAAATGTTTGTTGTCAAAGTGGTTCAAATGCCCAACAGTGGAGGGAGCATTGTTATTTCCCACCTCATGCTTTCCCACCTGTTTCTTTCTGACCTCTACAGAGCCACAGCTTGCCTTGAGAGTCCCTTGCTTTCATTGCAGGCTGCAGCCAGCTGGTGTTGAAGCCACAGACGACAGCAGAGGTGTCTCAGGTTCTCAGGTAATGGTCACCTTTTCTGCTGGGCTTGGTGCTGAGGAGACTTGGGTTGAGTCAGGGATGATCCAGCAACTTGTAGGTGTTCATACACCAATTCCTTAAGCATCACAGTTGCTGAGGCAATTTTCTTCATGACTTTTCTGTTCTGATAAATGGCTAAAATTAAGTATTGTACAGGTGCTCAGAACAGAGAAATTTTGTGAAAGATTTGGGAGGGTCTATTAGAAAAGGTAAAGAAGGTTAGGGCAGAACTGGGCAGTTTGAGGATCTGTTTTATCCACACAGGTGTGAGCACAGCTCTGGTTGGGCAGTGCTGTGCCAGATCACTGTTTGGCTGAGGAGCTGAAAGCTGCAGGAACGTGCTGGCTCTGTTAAAACAGGGATGCAGAGCACAGGAAAGGCAGGCTGGGTTTCTGAAGGAGCTCTGGTGCTCTGGGGCTCTGTGCCATCCATCCCTTGTGCAGGAGCTGCTATCAGCTCAGAGAGCATGTGGCAGGTGGTGCTTGGCAGCAGCTGAGGCACAGGTGCCCATTTTAGGTGCACATTTTGTTGCCTACAGGGCAGTAATTTCTTGGGAGAAGGAGGGCAGTCATGTCTGAAACCGCTGCCAGAGGCTGGCTGTCAGAGCCCACTGAGGAGCCTGAGCTGTTAACACAAACTGCTGCAGAAACAGCTTCTGTAGAAACATAAGCAATGCTTTCCAGGCAGATGTTGTGTGCCAGATGTGTAGATACACACAGGGCTAACCCCAAGTGTTGGTTCTTTGCTCAGCACTGGGCTGAGTTCAGGCAGGAGTTGCACTTTCTCGTTTTGTCTTTGAAACTGTCTCCTTCCATCAATTTAATCTTTCATTGAAATGCTGCTTAGTTTTAAGGACCACTGTCACAACAGTTGACATTCATGTAGAAGTGAAACTTCTCTGACACACTGATTATGGCTTTTAAATGCATAAACATTCAGAAATCTTTTTCCTTCCAGGTACTGCCATGAGAAGAACCTGGCAGTGAACCCTCAGGGGGGGAACACGGGCCTTGTTGGGGGCAGCGTTCCTGTCTTTGACGAGATCATTCTCTCCACTGCTCTCATGAACCAGATCATCAGCTTTGACAAGGTGTCTGGTAAATATTGCAGGGATGTGAAGCACAGAAATGAGCCCCAGACCACAAAACAGGCATTTTCCTGGGAACAGATAGCAGCAGGATCAGCAGGGTTCAGCCCAGCTGCATCATAAGGAGGTTTGTTTGGATTTGGGGGGTGGGTCAGGCTGGTGTGAATATCTCTATTCAGAGAGGGAGAACAGCAGGCAGAGACACACTTAATGGGATTATGTTTTACCAGTCCAGAGTTGTGGGTGACAAGATACTGAGGCAATAGCAAAACTGCTTGAGGCTTGAGGAGGGGGCAGTTCCCTGGAGCTTGCACAGACCTTTAAGCTGAATGCCAGGAACTTTTAAAGGAAGAGGTGACTGCATCTGCTCATACTGCTCCTCCTTCTTGAGGAGGCACCTTCTCAGCCACCAGCCTGTAGCAGGGTGTTTGTGTTGCAGGAATCCTCGTGTGCCAGGCGGGCTGTGTGTTGGAGAGGCTCAATGAGTACTTGGAGGAGCAGGGGTTTATCATGCCGCTGGACCTGGGAGCCAAAGGCAGCTGTCACATCGGGGGGAACGTGGCCACCAATGCCGGGGGCTTGCGGCTCTTGAGATACGGCTCCCTGCGAGGGACGGTGCTGGGCCTGGAAGTGGTAAGGCGAGTACCTGGCAGTTCCCTTCTCTGATTAATCCTCTGCTCTTTACTGCTTCCTGCTCTTCTAACTGTGCAGCACACAGCCAAGTTCCTCTCCAGGCTTCCACTCTTATCTTTTCTTTGTTGGGCCGTTTTCAGATGGGTCAGCACATGTGTTCATCCGTGTATGTAGCATGTTATTGCTGCTGCAGTTTCCAGCTTCCTGGCTACCAGTGCTTGCTGAGAGATGTGGTGTTAGGGGATTTCTAATCCAGCCAAGTGAATAGAAGGTAGGGAGAGGTTGGGGGATCCCAGGTTATCTCCGTGGAGTTGGTTCCTCTGAGCAGTGGGTCTCTGGAACACTGATAAATCCATCTTGCATCACTCTCTTCTAGTGGGTGCTCACTCGGATTTTAATAAATCAGCACAAACTGGTTTGTGTTGGACTGTACTTTAAATATCGTCTTAAGATATAAAGCCCACCCCATAACAGAGCTGTCTGCTTTAGGTTCATTTGGCTACTGGCTGTGTCCTAGAGTCTCTGCTGTTCCTCAGCTGCTCCTGTCCTACAGGCCAGTGCCTTGAGATGTAAAGGCTGGATTAGGAGTTCTACAAGTTTTCAGGGCTGGGGACAAAATTTGGTCAGGGAACAAAAGCATGGTTTGGTTTTACTGTGTAGGCTTAGAAAGGACAGCATTTGTCTCAGGTCAGTTTGATACTAATGTCAAAATAGCCTTTAATAACCTGTCTTGGAGATACTCAGCCTTATTTTAAGGCTCAAGTGGCACAGAATTTACTTCATTCTGCTTAACTGTTTACTGTTTCAAGTAGCTTTCCTTATTTCTGCTGGATAGGAGCTAGAGCTGCAGAGAATAGCTGGTGTTTTCCACCATTAGTAAGAAAAGCAGAGCAAACTGGATCTTCTGTTATTACTTGTCCTGATGGAAGGAGAGAAGTAGGAGGGAAATATCTACTCTGTCCTATTCAGGTAGGATATGGAGAGGGGCAAGAACTGGGAATGGAGGAGCAGTGTGGGAATGGGCTGCAGCTGTGTCCCCATGCTCAAGGTTAGTGACACTTCCCATCAGCTTGGTCATAGGCAGGTTCATGGCAGCAGACTGCCACCCAGGAGCTGTGACTGGGCTGCTGTGTTCCCACAGGTGCTGGCTGATGGCTCAGCTCTGGACTGTCTGACCTCTCTGCGCAAAGATAACACGGGCTATGACCTGAAGCAGCTCTTCATCGGATCTGAGGGGACCTTGGGAGTTATCACTGCTGTCTCCATACTCTGTCCTCAGAAGCCTAAGGCTGTCAATGTGGCATTCCTAGGTAGAAGCTGATGTTAATGATTTCACACCTGAATTCAGAGGCTGGGAATAGGAATAGACAGGAGAAAGCACTGCTCAGCCTGCTGAGCAGCATCAGCTGGTTTCTGGGAAATAGTGTAGGGCTTTGTGCTAAAATATCTGTGAGGATATTTAATATCTGTTCAAATACCTGCAGGGGCAGGTTGTTCTGTAAGGAAAGTGGAGCCAGGAGCTTAGCAGGGTGAGGAGGCAGGCAGGACAATCCCCTCACTGGTGAGGGAGGGCCTGGTCTGACAGGCTCAAGAGATGAGCAGGGCCAGACTGTGACAGTAGGCAGAGGCAGCCACCATGCAGGAGTCAGGTCAGTGACAAGGTGATGAGGCAAGGCTGAGAAATCACATCTGCAGGTCAGGCTCTGGATCAGCAGAGTGTGTGGCCAGGCACAGCTGCTTAAAAACTGCATCTGGGTCCCTCAGCAGGTCCAGAGTTGTTTGTGTGGAGCCTTCACTGAGAGTTTCTTTACTTCTCAGAAACCTCCAAAGGGTTTGGGGTGGTGTCTGCTCCTGATTCCTCTCTGTTCTGTCTGAAGGGTGTCGGAGTTTTGCCAAGGTTCTGGAAACATTCACAACCTGCAGAGCCATGCTGGGTGAGATCCTGTCTGCCTACGAGTTCATGGATGAGAAGTGTATGGAATTGGTTGAGAGACATCTCAAGCTGTCCAGCCCAGTGGCAGGTACCAGTGATATTCACACTGTAGAAAGGGGCACTGTACTGCTTGGGGATTTTTATACTACTTTTAAATACTTCTAAAAACTGACTCATTTTAAAAAGTTGACTCACTGATTTTAAAAGGTTGGTGATTGTGTGGTGATTGTGTGACCCCTCATAATTTTTGTATCTAGTATATCCATTCCAAACACCTTTTATCTTTAAAGATGAGACTTTTTACTTGTATTTTTCCTCACAAAACTGCTGGCTTTCTGGAAAGTGATTGCTTAAAAAAAGATCTAGCATGTCATTGAAGTGTCCTACAGATAACACTGCCCTCTCTGGCACCAGAGTCTGGGCACACAACATGTGGGAAAAGCTCCAAAACCTGTTTATCCCAGGACCTCTACTTACTTTGTTCTCCCTCATTCTCAGACAGCCCTTTTTATGTTTTAATTGAAACTTCGGGCTCCAACTCAACTCACGATGAAGAAAAATTAAACAATTTCCTAGAACAGGCCATGGCTTCTGGTTTAGTCACGGATGGAACTGTGGCAACGGACGATAAGAAAATAAAGGCAAGTCAATGCTTCCCCTTCCACAAATCTTTTTGACATTTGTATTTTATATAGGGAAGTGTTCAGACTCATGTTTGGTGTGTGCATGGAACCCAAGAGTACTTGATTTATTTGGATTTGTGTGATCCTTGGTTCCTCAGATGCTGTGGAGCCTGCGGGAGAGAATCACCGAGGCCCTCACTCACGAGGGTTACGTGTACAAGTACGACATCTCCCTGCCCGTGGCAAAGCTCTATGACCTCGTCACTGATATGAGGGCTCGCCTGGGCCACAGTGCCAAAAATGTGGTGGGCTATGGCCACTTGGGTAAGTGAGGGTGCCGGGAAAGGAGGTGCTGGCCCTTCTGTGCTGCTGGTGAGAGGCTTAAATTGAGGGCTGTGGAAGAGGAGGGTGTATCAGGATCTTTGTGTTTGAATTTCACTGCTTTCAGACTGTTTCCCATATATCGATGGCAGTTCATGAGCCACAGAACTCGTCATCTCTGTCTTCTTGCTGTGTACTTTCTATTTAAATATGTAATTTGTTCAATTGGACCATCAATTTGGTTGATGTACTTAGACACGTTTGGCAGATAACCACTTTCTTGTCCAAAGTGATTAATCCTACTGGAAATCAGTTTTTGTGAGCCATTAACTCTCCAGCAGAGTGTGATAATGATAAATGCAAAGAAAGGCTGATAGATTTGTCAGCATGCTGGGAAACCAATCTGATTTTTCAAGCAGGTAAATTGGTCATTTAGCAGAGTTGTTCTGTTACAAAAAACATCACCAGCACACTTGATTAGGGATCATTTGAAAGACACGTTGCATAACAAAGGCTCCCTGTTGGTAGCTGTTTGAGGACTAAACTGTGTGCTGTGAGAGTTTACTAGGATGCAGGAAGAGGTTCCCGACCAAGGAGGATGAGTAAATTGTATATATCTTTGTGTGTTTTGTCTTTTGGAGTACCCAGCAACTTTGTGCCTAATCAAATAATGTCACACACAGTGGCAAAAGGAGAAATTGTTCTGCTTTCTTTGTTTCTGTTGACATGGTGCCAAAGCGCATTTGGAGCATTGCACAAACATAATAGGGAGAGAAAAAGTGATGAAGGGCCATGTTAGAATCTAACGATCATTATGAAATGCCATTGGGGAAGTCTTTGTCATTGCATCACAGTGGTGGCACAATCATTAATGCAGCACAGTGGGAATTTTAAAATCACAAAAGTCGGAGTTTGAAAGTAGCTTAACTCAGAACCCTTCCTCAAATATTGCACTGGGAACATGGAAAAGCAAAGATCCTATTTGAATTATTTGTGCACGGAGAGGCTGATGTTTGTGGGACAGTGAGCTTGTCCTTTTTGCACAGTTTGCAGACAACAAAGGCCCTGTTGTTTGAGAACGTGGTGGAGCCAGGAATGAGTATCCATTGCAGGGCCACCAGGTTTTTCTCCCAGACCCATCTGTGCAATGTTTTCTTCCAGGAGATGGGAACTTGCACTTGAATGTCACGGCGGACTCCTATAGCCATTCCCTGCTGGATGCCATCGAGCCCTTTGTGTACGAGTGGACTGCAAGGTGCAATGGGAGCATCAGTGCAGAGCACGGGCTGGGCTTCAAGAAGAAGCAGTTCATTCAGTACAGCAAACCCCACGAGGCAGTGGTGCTCATGAAGCAGTTCAAAGCCATGCTGGACCCCAAAGGGATCCTCAACCCCTACAAGACGCTGCCCTCGGCTCCTTGAGGGGAGCATGGGCTGAGGATCCAGCAGAGCTGTGCAGCTCCAGCTCCATACCTGCACTTGAGCCATAAACACACTGGATCAGCAAGCACATGGAGTGCTCTGTGTTTGATTTTGTTAGTGGGATGGAACAAGTAAAGGAATGTGGTTGCCTTTTCAGGGGTTCATGCTCTTGGTGAAGAGCATACTGCTGGGTTTCCTGCTTAGTCTGAATATTGAAACCAAACACGGAGATGCTATGTGTGTATGAGTATTCCAACTCTCTCTCCCCTTGGGTTTGCTCTGATTTATCAGTGACAGCAGCCAAAGGAGGCATTTTCTCACTTGGGCTGGGCAAGTAAAGCATCAGAGACAGGAGAACCTGTGGATGCAAGTCTTCCAAGCGAAAGTGTTGCTCTTCCTCACTTTTTTTATCTAATACACTTATCCCAAAGCCCACAACAGCATCTGGTTATGGCCTCTTAAGTGATGCCACCTCCAGGCTGTCCCAAATAAGCATCAGTGTTGTCCCATGTACAGGTTTGCAGTGCTGAAAAGACTGGCCAGAGAAGAGAGGGTGCTGGAGACCCAGCTTCTGGATTTTATCAGCTGGAGGAGAAATACCAGCAGCCAGAGTGAGGAGGATCCCAGCCCTCCTGCCTGCCATGGGCAGGCTCTAGGCATGCCAGTATTTCCCACTTCTTTGGCTTCCAGTCTGTTCTTCACAGCAAATCATGATTTGCTCTCACAGAGAAGTGTAAAATTATCCCTCCCAACCTGGCTGGATAATATCTGGGATTATCCAGAGTGATAATCCAAAAGGATGGGGCTTGGAGCAGTCTGGTCTAGTGGAAGGTGTCCCTGTCCATAGCAGAGAAGTAGAACGAGATGGGCTTTAAGGTCCCTTCCAACCCAAACCACTGTGTGACTCTACCCTGGGAGTGCTGTGGAGTCTCTGGAGGGACAACAGGCCAAGAGAGGGATCTGTACAGATTCACCACTGGGCAGCACCAGTGGCACAGAATCACTAAATCCAAGTGCTGGATTCTGCACCAAGGCTGAATCAACGCTGAGCACGAGTGTAAGCTGGGAGAGGAGTGGCTGGGGAACAGCCCTGCTGGAAGGATCCAGGGGCTGGCTGGCAGCAGCTCAGTAGGAGCCATTGCCAGGAGGGCAAATGGCATCCTGGGGCCACCCAACACAGCGTGGCCAGCGGGCCAGGAGAGGGGAAGGTCTGGCTGTGCTCAGCACTGGGGCAGCCTCACCCAGAGGGCTCCAGCGTTGGAGATGATGGGAAGGTGCTGGAGTGTGTCCAGAAGAGGAGAACCACGCTGGGGCTGGGGCTGGGAGGTGTGAGCTGGGAGGAAGCTGAGGACTTGGGTTTGTCTGGTTTGGAGAGGAGGCTGAGGGACAACCTTATCCCCCTGCAGCTCCCTGAGGAGGGGGCATGGAGAGGGAAGAGCTGATCTCATGGGAATGCTGATCTCAAAGCAGGGCCAGAGGAGGTTCAGGATGGACATTAGGAAGGGTTTCTTTATAGAGCATATAATCAAATACTGCACCAGGCTTCCTGGAGAGGTGATGATGCCCCAGACTGTCAGTGTTTAAGAGACATTTGAGCAATGGTGTAACTTCAGGGCAGCCCTGAACGGGTCAGGTAGTTGGACCAGATTATTGTCCTAAGTTCCTTCCAGCTGAACTGTTCTGTTCTAACATGGAGAGTTTTATTGGTTTTGGGGTTTGGTTTTATGTGCTACAGTCTGTTTTGTAACTCATGGTTCTACAAAACCACATTGTCACCCTTCTGCTACAGAGGACAGTGAGTCACTCATCTTTTGGCTTACTTGGTGTTTGCGAGTCATATCCGTATTTACTGATGTGTCACTCTTAACCCAGGCTCTCTTGTATCCAAATACAGCAGGTGGTGATAAGAAAGAGCCAGGGGATTTGCCAAAGATAAATGGTGTCACTAACCTGACAGCCTTTTACAACAAATGGATGTTTCCTGTCAACATGGGCAGAGCAGTGGATGTCAGCAGAGCCTTTGACAAGGCTTTCCTACAATCTTCTCCAGGCTAGATAGGGATTTGAGCAGCCTGGCCTAATGGAAGCAGGCAGGGGGGTTGGAATAAAATGACCTCTTCCAGCCCAAAACCATCCCGTGGTTCTGTGATTCTCCTGGACTGCCTGAGTGGGCTGTGGGACAGGTAATAAGCTGGCTCAGGCTGTGCTCAGAGGGTGCCAGTTGATGGATTTTACTCAGGTGTACTGGTTTGGGAAACCTTACTGGATGCCATAAGAGCAGGAAAGGTGGTGTCTTATGCAGTAGCCATCTTCACTACCTGCTTTTTGGTGATGTTGACTCTTCCACAGAGCAGTGAAATAAATGTTCCATCCAGAGCCTTGTTCTTCAAAGAAAAACCATCCTAAAGAGTGTTTTCTTCTGTTTTAAGGCAGAACACGATCTCTACAAGGCTGCACGCTGTCAGATGGCACTAAGGATGCTGCCTTGTGCTCAGCAACGTGTTGCAGTGCCCTTCTCAACACAGTTCTAAGATCACACCTCTCTCAGCTTGGCCACATGGATGCTTGTGACAGAAATACCTCCATATGTTCCATGGCCTGCCAGTATCTAGTCCTGCTCTCTACTCTTGTCCGTTCAACTTTTCTCAGCTATGGCCTACTCCCCACCTCTCCCTTCGTCCCTCAGGATAAGTCAGAGAGGAGCTGATTGTCCTCTTCTAGGGTGAAGCAAAGTTGAACAATGCCATCATTTTCAAAGAGGAAGAATTTTGTCATGGAAATGGTGGTCAGGCATTAGAAAGAGCTTCCCAGGGAGGTGGTAGAGTCCTCACAGCTGGAGGTGTCCAAGGAATACCTGGACATGGCACTCAGTGCTCTGGGCTGGTTACAAGGTGGGGATTGGTCAGAGGCTGAACTCAATGGTCTTGGAGGTCTCTTCCAACCGAAATGGTTCTGGAGTTCTATGGCTCTGTGAAAAGAGAAGACAGCTTGTGCTGCTTCGGTGTGGGGTGATGAAAAAATATGGCAAGTGCATGATGTCATTGGCAAAGAAATATGCAGGATTTGCTTTCTGCCAGGATAGGCTGGTGCAGCTAGTTCTTTCCAGATTAGACTGTTTATATTTTCTGCCCTTTTCCTACACCATTCTTTCTTTTTTTTCCCCTAAACTACTGACCATCACTGTGTAAAATGCAGACTTTCCATATGAAAGGCTCTTTTTGGGAAGTGGAACTTTCCATAATTCTCTTTTTCAGCTGTGTACGGAGAGGGTGCTTGGGAGGGAGACACACAACCCTGTGCTGTGGCTGGGGAAGTTCTGGCACAGCTCCATTTAACCATCTTCCTTACACGTGAAGATCCTAAAGCTCCATGTAAGTTTTGCTGTTTCACTAAACAATAGAGCAGTTCCCTGAGGGAATACAAGGGAGGAGTTAGTGTAGGGTTATTTTCTAATATCTTTCCTAGAACTTCCTTCTGTGTTCTCAGTGATACTTTCACACAGTGGTGCACTGTTGTTTATAGGCGGGAGAGGCAGGGTGGGTACATGTATGTGTAATACTAGAAAGAATCACTGTGACGGGAATTTCTTATCCAAAATTCTAATTTTTTCTGAGACAGACTTAAATACTAGAATGCTGTGGATGCTTCACACTTAGAACCAGTGGTCTTCTGGCACAGTAAGGTCTTGGCTCTCTCTACTGGTTTTGCCTCTCTCTGTACAGTTCATGGCTGGGATAGAGTTAATTTTCTTCAGAGTGGCTGGTCTGGATCTGTGTTTGGATCAGCAGTGGAAGCACAGGAATGTTGTAGTTGTTGCCGAGTGGTGCTTGCACGACATCAAGGTCTTTTCTGCTCCTCACCAGGGAGGGGGCACAGCTGACCATGACTGACCACAGAGGTCTCCCAAACTGCAGGAGGCCACGCTCAGCTATAAAAGCGGGGGAGGAAGGAGCAAGGGGGGTGTTCCAAGTCACCATTACACGTGCTGGAGCCCAGCTTTCCTGGGATGGCAGAACACCTGCCTGCGGCAGGGAGCAGGCAATGAATTCCTTCTGATTTGCTTGCATGTGCAGGTTTTGCTTTACACGTTAAACTGCCCTTAGCACAACCCACGAGTTTTTTCATTCCACCTTCTGATTCTCCCCATCCTGCTGCAAGAGGCTGACCTGCCCCAGGGCCTGACCCCCAACAGGAAGCAGAGGCAGGATGGAGTGATGAATCCCACCCTAGCTCACTAATCCTGTGTCACCTAGCTGCCCTTTCCTGCCTCAGTCTCTGAGCAATCCACCTCCATATGAAGACAAGTGTTCGTGCCTGGCACCATTTATTTTTTTTTTGGCGTAACCAAAGCTGACGATTCGTGTACAACACCCCAGGAGAGAGCAATGAATCAATTGTAAAAGTGTAAAAAATGGGCTTTTGTGATCCGTGGGCTCTACCAGCTCCTGAGTGAGAAATGGCACAGCTGACGTGTGTAATGTAACAGGAGAAAGAGGTCGCTGAATTGTGCCCCCCCTGCCAGCAGCAGCTGGTGCTATGCCAAGAGTAACCCTAGAAATTCTCCATAAAAGAGCACATTGACTCAGGTTCTACCAAGAAACTCAAGCAAAGCAACCCTACACCTTGCTAATCTCTGCATCTTGGTAAGCACTGGAGTTGGGGCTGCTCTGGGGAAGCTGTGATTTAAAAAGAAATGCTGTGTATTTGGGTGCTCTGGAAATGTAGCAAGGTAGGTGAAGGATCCTGGAGTGCTGAGGATTTGGCTGTTGAAGGGGCGTGCTGGGCCAACAGCATACAAGGGTTAGAAAGGTGGCACTGTGTGTGGGGAGGGAAAGGGGACCACCAGGACGTGCATGGGACACAGCATGGCTATGAAAGACCAAAGTAACAACTGAATCCCCCTTAACCCAGGCTGGGAGATGTGGGTACACTTTGTGTTGCCCTTAAGAGGAGAGCATTGGCTACATCTCGATATCACACACCTCCAGACCTGCAGGACAGATTCTGGTCTCCCAGGGCGAACTGCAACCATCAAACCCAGTTTGTGAAGTGTTGATGTACGGCAGCCTCAGTGAAATCTAAAATTCCTGCATAATACAAATTGTAACAGTTGTTATTAACACCAGAGATAAAGCATAAAATAATGCCCCTTTAGGGGCAAGATTTCTCCCTCCCAAGGCCTGGATACAGCCAAGTCTGTTAGGCTCTTAACCTTCAGCTACAATAATT